AAAAAAAAAAAAAAAAAAAAAAAAAAAAAAAGATGAATTTGGAGTCATTCCTTGTCTGCCTTGTCTCACAAGCAGCCACCCGGGTATTCCGTGCCGGGTTTGGAAGCCTGACCCTGTTCCACAGGCACCACCCAGGCTGTTGTCCCGCCCAGGGACACAGCTTCACACGCTGTCCCGCCCGGGCAGGGTTTAACCTCTCCRATTCTCCCACTCCCCAGCCTGAATCCTGGAGGCTTCGGCAGTGCAAGCGACAGGCCGGCAGGCCCAGGGCAGCAAGAGTGTCCTCAGATTTTCAGGGGAAGATGTAAAATGGCTGACGGGCATAAATATTTACCCAGGTTGTAACTCCTGCCTCGGCTTGTTGCGAACCGAGAATGCTGCGATAACCACGTAGGAAGGAGAGATGAAAAGGAGCTCCGCAGCGCTGTGCCAAGGCACCCCCGGGATGAGGCTGGAGGAGGCCGGGCTGCCCTCGCACGCATCCGGAGTCAGCACTCGGTGCCTAGAGGTGGCAACGCAGACACAGCCCCGCCAGAGCACAGCTCATGCTTATGGGAGATTTTTTTTTTAGCCTTTTAGATCCCTTCTCCTCCTCCCAAATGGGTTAATGCTCCATTTTAAAAGCTTCTTCCTTGAAATTACCAAAAAAARAAGTGGGTGGCTGTTAAAGGGCCAGGCACCTGCCAGCAGCAGCAGGGAAAGCTCCAGGGCTTTATCCCTCTATCCCAGCCCAGTGAACGCAGCGGCACCGCCGGGCCCGCTCCGGGCTGCAGCCGGAAGAAGGGCTCCTGCAGGAGGAGGAGGAAGGGCTCCATAGGCAGGAGGAGGAGGCGGAAGGGCTCCACAGGCATCCCGCGGGCGCCGCTCCGCAGCCGGCCTCTCCTGAGGGGGCCGAAGGGCAGCAGAAGGGAGCGCGGCCGGCGCTGCCTCCCGCCCCGCGCGCAGGGACGCGGCCGCGCGCCCCGCTCCGCATCCCGGCTCTCTGCAGGCTCCTTACCCTCCCTCAGCGTCCCCGGCGCTGGGGCGAGCCCCGCTCACGGCTGCGGCAGCGCGGTGGGTGCAGAGCAGCGAGGCGCTGCTCCTCCGGCCCGGCCTTTGCTCGAGCAGCGCCCGCGTGTCCCGCGTGTCCTCATCGCCGAGACGGCCCCGCAAACCCTCCCCTCGCTGGGAGGTGTACCGGGCAGCAAGGAAAGGCGGGCAGAGGCAGCCGGCTGCGCGCAGGGATTGTGGCTCTTGGTGCGTGGCAAGAGCGGGCTCCCGGCGCTGCAGGAAACGCTGCTCTGCGCTGCGGCGTTTTCCCGGCGCCCTCGTGCCGCTCCGCACGGCCCCGGCGCTGCCGAGGGCAGGTCGCTGCCCAGAGGCTGCACCACGAGGCGCTGCTCCGCTCCGTGCCCTGAGAAGGGCCGCGAGCCCAAGGGGTCAACGCTGCACGTGCAGGACGCCCGCCACGGCCCCACTCACAGAGCCCCGTGGAAACTCGTAGCAGGGATGCCCGGGGTGCCCTGCTGCAGCAGCCCCACGCCGAACACCACAGCCCCTCGCAGGGCGCTCCGCACACGCACCGAGCACGGGCCGCTCCTCAGGACACACCTGGCTCGTCTGGACCCGAGTGCTTTCAAAGCCTGTGCCCCAAATGTCCCCTCTGCAGGGAAGCAGGTCCATTTATCGGTGGCATTATTCCAGCTCGGCAGTCCTGCTGCCTGCTAAGAGCAGCCGGGGGCAGCGCTTCCTGCTTGCTCCCCTCCAGCAGCCAGATACGGAATGCAGCTCGTATCTTTTATTTCTTTTTTTGTCCTCTCTTTACAAGCAGCCTTTCCTGCTGCAGGGCCTCGGTAGCACTCTTGATCTGGCCATTAAGAGCAGGTAAGAGCTGAAAGGGGCTGGCCATTAAGCTTTTCCTGGCTCCAATTTGCTAGTGATAGCTTGTCACTGCAGCCTTGCCTTCTGCCTCTGAAACACGACACCCCTGCAAATGCTAACTGTGCGCTCCCGCAATAACAACCAGCTAGAGGCCTTTT